GGATAAGATGATTTCAAACATAGTTTTAAGGTGGTTTTTTTCCTTCAACAACTATCAGGCACTGATGTATGTTCAAGTATTCACTGAGAGTCTTCTAGGTTCATACTTTATGCTAGACTCCATTCAGGCAGCTGTGAACCAGGCAGAGACCCTGTGGAGTGTACACAGGGACAAGACCAGTCACAGAGGAAAGGCCCCTTCACCCTCAACCCGAACTTCCCTTGTAACTGCATGGCCCATTTTTGAAGCCGTTATCAACCACAGCTCACCTGGTCCTTGTGGCAACTTCACATAGGTCCTAGAAGCCTCCCCACTGGCCTTGTTAAAAAGTACCCTGTCACTGGGTCCATCCATTTCTGGAACATGTCCTGATCCAGGTCATCCTCAGAAATACTCTGCTGAGACTGACATCCTGGAAGCTGAGCAATTGAGATGGTTTTCCAAGTGTTTCCAGCTTTCTCCTCCCCAAGCATTAGCCAAGTCTAAACTAGACTGTAGGCCAGAATATTTTGGAGTAAGTTTTAAGGTGCATGTAGAAAAAACAACGTGTGACCTGTACTGGTGGGTAGGGCCTGCTAACCTGTGACAAGGGAAGTGGTTCCAGCACACTCTGTCACTCCACCGTCGATCCAGGCCTCCAAATCTAACAGTCTACCTGGTCCTCAAAGGATGTACACCCAGACACATGAAAAAAGCCCAACACAAACAGCTTTCTATGTTGTTGTTAGATGTCTAGTCAGTTCCGACTCTGTACAACAGAACGAAACATTGCCTAGTCCTGCGCCATCCTTACGATCGTTATGCTTGAGCCCATTGTTGCAGCCGCGTCGTCCATCTCTTTGAGGATCTTCCTCTTTTTCACCGACCCTCAACCAAGCATGATGTCCTTCTCCAGGAACTGATCCCTCCTGATAACATGTCCAAAGCACGTGAGACAGTCTCGCCATCCTTGCTTCTAAGGTGCATTCCGGCTGTACTTCTTCCAAGACAGATTTGTTCTATAGTCTTTTCTTCTCTTTGTTGTGCTTGAACCTGGCAAATCCCCTTAGGAATTAGGCATAAACTTTCCCTGGTCCCCGAGAGCATGTGCCAAACCGGAGTGACAAGGACAGAATTAGCTTGGCACTTGCCCATGGATATATAAGCAAATCTGGGAAGCACTCTGTACTTTTTTTCACGTCCTCTGAGGTCTTCCCTTCCCTGACCCCTCAGAAACTTACGGTACTCCCTCCTTTACCGTTGCTCCTACAATTAGGCCACTTTTTCATTTTGCTCTCAAGACTAGTGCCTAAGGGAAAAGGTCACCTCCTTCATTTCTATGTGCAGCATCTTCTCCAAATAGCATCCAGTTCACAAGCGCAGCCAAGAGCATTCCAGCTTTGAGGATCATGGCCCAGGGTTGCCCCAGCCAGGGCCAAGGGCGAACTATCCAGGAAATGCACAGGCAACTCCCGAGGGCCAGGGGGGAAACCATCCCCATTTACACACAGGCCTGTGGGCCCAGGACGCTGCCAACCCCTTCCCTCCCGAGCTGACTCCTCATTGCTATCAGATCAAGCTTCCTGACCTAGTGCGCTCCAACTGTGGCCTCACCTGAAACCTCTAAAGTCTAAGTCTAGTTCCTACCCTTAGAGTGCCCCCCCAGAATCTAACCCTGCTGGCCACTGCCACCTCTCACTTCTCAAACTTCCAATCATGCCTCATTCATCATTTCTCTCTGGCAGCTCCTTCTGTTTCCTTCAAAGCTTCCACTTCCTCTTGATACATCCATGTGACCCTTCATTCCCCAAACCAAGACCTGCCACCTCCTCTTTCATTTGGCTCATCCTCTCAAACATGGATTATAATGAAAATTCACCACCTCCAACTTCCCTCACGCCTCATTCTGCACATATTGCTACATGTGCCTTCCTAAACCATCCTGTCACTCAGGCTCAAAGATCTAGAGACCCCAGAGCCCTTTACCAGAAACCCCATCCCTCAGTTCTCCATCAACGCTTTCTACTACCTCTGACATTAAACATAAGATCAGCTTAATCCTGCAGCCCCTAGCTTCACAGCAGGCAGCTGGAACTTTCACGCTGAATAAGCATCACAAAGGCCAGCCCTTCTGAAGCCAATGCTGGAATCCTTATCAAGTTCTGAGTGGAAGTTCTTCACTTGCCCCACCGAAAAACTTTCACACAAGCCTTTACTTTGCCCCCCAATACCCTCTTCCCCAGTGACTTATAGGGACACTGGTACCGTTCCCGGGTAAACTAGATAGCTACTCTCTTTCTAGGTGATCTGAACACCCTGTGAAATAGCTATGCTCTGGCTGGTCACTAGCTGGCTGGTCCCAGGCTTTCCATTAACCTTACCAGGTGCTAACCCCTCTCCTACAGACAGATGCCCAAAGGGAAACCAAACTGCAGACAGCTTCCTTGAAGGCAGCTGTTAAGAGGTCCATTGGTAGGCCCTGGCAGCTAAGATCCTCCTAGTACAAGAGCACCTGGACTACGTAAGTGGCAGAAGTCCAGGGAGTAAGGCCCTTGGCCAATCCTCATGTAGGCCTCATTTCTTGTAGACTTAAGGTGTCTTCAGATGGCTTCATTCCCTTTCAGTAGCCATTACCATCCCAAACACACACACACCCACCCACCACATATAGAGTCGCAGCAGGTGTAACTAGCACACTCTCGGCCACGTCCTATACTCCAGGCAGGTCAGTCCCGGCACTTACCTTTATGTGGCCATACCTTCCTTCTGCTACTGTCAAACCCTCAAAGTAAGGCCCAGTCCCTATAGCAAGATAAGGACTCCCATATCAGAGGAACTGGGCCAAGAGTCAACAGGAAGACTATAAGAAAGAGCGAGCAACTTTTTGCCACCCAGAGAGCAGTGCCTTGATTGCTGTCCTTCAGATTGGAAGTCTATGAGAAAAGTTAACTGGAATTTAGCCAAGAGGGCTTAATTGTAGAGAAAAGTTTTCATGGAAAACACACAAGTGTATGCACATGCACACACGCAAACGCACACACACCCCCTACCCCCACCCCAGCAGTCCTCATTATGAAATTAAGGAATCCATTCCTTGGAGTGTAAGACAGGTTTCTTTTATTAGTTCTTCCTAAACTTGTCTCACGTTTACTGAATATTTTTCTTAGTGTAAGAACGTGACCTGGAGCTTTAACAAACCAATTTGGATAGCAACCTGAATAAATGCACACAAGTCACCAATTATCACACACTCTGGCCTGGCCTCCATGAAAATCCAATTGGTCTTAAAGCCTGTCTAAACAGAGAGCAAGTAGACCACATCATCTTATTTCTAGTTTTAACTTTAAACTTCAAGTTCACCCCCATCCCAACACCCGCACAAACCCCTCCCGCCAGAAAAAGGTTTTAGAAGAACTGGCCATTAAGAACTGAGTCAGTTGCATAAGAGTGGGCTTAATCCTGCAACCAGCACTTCGAAGTAGCCATTGGCCTCACAGCAGGCCAGCTGAAACTCTTGAAGCATGATGGCTAGAGAATGAACAGAGGATGCTCTAAGGACAGGGCCCCAGTCCTGATGCCGCAGGCTTCCATGCATGCTTACATACCAACATATACATACTTCCAAGTTAATCCTCTCTAAGTAAGCACTGTTTCTTTGTAACACTTTAGAGCTTGTAACACCCTAAAATGTTTCACTGTAGACATGGACAGAAACTTATTCTAAATACGAAAGGCATGATCTTATTTCTAACAACACAGGCCAAAACCAACAGAGAGGCACTCTGTTATACAGAATATTAATTATTACAAAGATCCAAACAGTAATCATCAAGGCTTGTAAGTTTCTAGGTTAGGTACCAGTTTTGGCCTCTAATAGGAGTGTTAACAGATGCCCAACTTGCCTCATTCCTATCAATACTGCCCCAAAGAGCAGGGAATGCTTTGGCGCACCTTACAGTAGGTGCACAGTGAGGAGGAGGTGTTGATAACATCGGGCAGTGCACTTCTTTAACACTAAATTCAGACTCATCCAGTACAACCCAGTGTTATCTTAGTTTCTTATATGTTCTGTCAGCTGTTTAACACGAATTGGCAGACTTGTGACAGATATTAACACTTAAACACACAAGTGATTGTGAATGAGCTAAAAACAATTGTTAACTCTTCTCCTAGGAGATGAAGACAGACTTCATTTTTACAGAGTATCTCCCACCTGAATAAGCAGGCCAGGATACAAATTTTTATGCCATAATTAACAAGATCAATTCCTCAGTTAAAATTATCACGCCTATATCCAACAAAACATCACCCAATTCAAACCTTCTGAAGAGAAAATTATTTAGACTTTGATGCTTGGGGTATTAGTGAACATACTCTCAAGGAAGACCTTCCAGGTCTAAAAAACCTAATGACTTGCTTCAGGTGAAGGGGGTTCATTTTCCCAAAAGCAGCACATGGCATTTATAAAGGGAACTTTTTGTTTTTGGGGGGTGGGGGAGCAGGAGTGAAGGTGAAGTGTGAAAAAGATCAGAGCACACCTTTTTTGCTCTATGTTAATCCATGCCATGCCATGCCATGCTCTAAGCCCTCAGAAACAGAGGGAGATCCCTCCCCAACCCTATCCCTACACCAGGCAGGGAGCCTTTGTGGCAACCTCCACGACAGAACTGTGAAACACAATCAGAGGTCCTGCCATATATGTCATAATGAAAAGTCTGCTTTACAGCTAGTTATAGTTTTTGCTATAGCTCAACTTTCCAAAACAAACTTATCTTTACAGAAGCATAACTAAACATAAAACAAGTGAAGCTTAAACTCAGTAAGATTAACTGAGCTTCTAAATAGTACCATTATGAAAAAAGATACAATGCATTTAATTTCTGTACCTAGCTATTTAGAAGTCAAAACGTTCCATACATTATCTATATCCCCTCCCCTGAAGTCCCCTAAAAACTGACTAAGAAATCTTTAGTATCTGCTTGCTCTAGTTGATATTTAGAACAAAGCTGACAACTTAAAGCTTCATAATAGTCTGTTTTAATATAAACAAGTGTTGGAATCAATCAATGTCCATTTCAGGAAGTTTCTTGTCAGAATCTGAAGGCACAGCTGTGTCTGTACCCTGCTCAGCAGCCTGAGGCCCTGGATTGTCTCCTTGTCCATCCACTGGTCCGTTCTGCTCTGCATTTTTTTGTTCCTCTTTTGGAGGTTCCACTTTGGGTTTGGGCTTTGAAATTATAGGACTACAGATATTTATCAGCTCCTAGAATGGTAGGAGAAAAAAACTGTTGTTTCTTATAAATTTTATATGACATGCTAAACCCAAGTCTAGCCTCACCCACCCCATTCCCAACCAGAACCTAAAAACACAATAATAAAGTTCCCGCCTAAATATCATTTTGAGGGCTATTAATAATGAACATATTAACAAAGGAATATTAAATAATACATTAATTAATATTAAATAACCTTAATTTTAGCTTCAATCTCTTTTGCCTTGATAACTGGATCCATGGTCAGACTCTGCTTGTTCTGCAGATTCAGCTTGTTATTCATCCATTCCATGGCCTCATTCGTGCTTTTTTCCACTTTCATCATGTCAGCAGCATCCAAATGGTCATACTGGTCCTCCTATAATCAACAAGTAGAGAGCTTCAAAGGATGATATTCTCCGCACCCAAATACTGTCTAGCTCTTTAGCATCTTTCAAGAAGTTATGACCTTTCAAAAATGAAGCACATTTAGCCTCATTAATCTACACACTCAAGTCCTTAAAAATTGAAGGAAGGAAAAGTAACCCCAATTTTTAAAGCATTCAGGAAACTGATTTAAAGGCCAAGAAAATATAAAAGGTGGTGATTAAAAAGCTTCATCAGTATAAATAGGTGTACATTCTTTACACAAAATTGTATGATAAATTTCACAATGCAAAAAAATTATATTAGCTGAGGTTTTAGGTATGCTAGTTTAGAACCAAAACAACAGTGAAATTTTTTTAATGAGGTCTTATAAAAACAAAATTATAAAAAAGTCAAGCTCAACTTATCACTTTTTTACTTACCTACTTTTTTTTTTTACTGTACTTTAGGTGAAGGTTTACAGAACAAATAGCTTCTCATTAAACAGTCAGTACACATATTGTTTTATGACATTGGTTAACAACCCGACATGTCAACACTCTCCTTTCTCGACCTTGGAGAACCTTTTCTTCTTGTGGTGAAAATATACATAGCCAAAGATACACCATTTCAAAAATTTCTACATGTACAATTCAGTGACATCAATTACGTTCTTCCAGTTGTGCTGCTATTCTCACTTCAGATGAAGGTTTACAGAACAAAACAGTTTCTCATTAAACAGTTTGTACACATATTGCCCTACGACAATGGTTAAGAACCCCACTACATGTCAACACTGTCCTTACTCAACCTTGGGTTCCCTATCACCACCAGCTTTCCTGTCCCCTCCTGCCTTCTAGCCCTTGTCCCTGGATGCTGTGCCTCATTAGTCCCATTTTGTTTCACAGGGCTGTCCAATCCCCAGCTGAACGGTGAACCTCGGGAGTGACTTCACCACTGAGCTAAAAGTGTGTCCGGGGGCTATACTCTCAGGGTTTCTCTAGTCTCTGACAGGCCAATAAATCTGGTTTTTGCATGTTAGAAGTTTGTTCTACATCCTTCTCCAGCTCTGTCCAGAACCCTCTGTTGTGATCCCAGTCAGAGCAGTCAGTGGTGGTAGCCGGACACCATCTAGCTGTACTGGACTCAGTCTGGTGAAGGCCTTGGTAGCTGTGGTCCATTAGTCCTTTGGATTAATCTTTTCGTGTATCCTGTTCTCTTCATTCTCCCTTGCTCCCGAAGGGGTGAGACCAGTGGAGTATCTTAGATCGCTGCTCACAAGCTTTTAAGACCCCAGATGCTACTCATCAAGGTAGAATGTAAAACACTTTCTTCATAAACTGTGTTGTGCCAACTGAGCTAGATGTTCCCCAAGACCATGGTCCCCACAACCCTCCACCCAGCAACTCAGTCTCTCAGGGAGTTCGGATGTGTCTATGGAGCTTCCATGACCTTTCCTTGTACACCAACTTATCACTCTTAAAGTCTCTTACACTGAGAATACATTAAGGACCTGGAGTACAGTGGAGTGATTAGGAACACAAACTGTTATGGATTGAACTGTATCCCCCCAAAATGTGTCAACTTGGCTAGGCCATGATTCCCAGTATTGTGTGGTTGTCCACCATTTTGTGATCTGATGTGATTATCCTATGTGTTGTAAATCCTAACCTCTATGATGTTAATGAGGCAGGATTAGAGGCAGTTATGTTAATGAGGCAGGACTCAATCTATAGGATTAGGCTGTATCTTGAATCAGTCTCTTCTGAGACATAAAAGAATCGAGCAGAGAGGAGGGCAGACCTCATTACAACCAAGCAAGAAGAGCCAGGAGTGGAGCATGTCCTTTGGACCTGGGATCCCTGTACTGAGAAGATCCTAGACGGAGGAAGATTGATGAGAACGACCTTCCCCCAGAGCTGACAGAGAGAGAAAGCCTTCCCATGGAGCTGGAGCCCTGAATTAGGACTTCTAGCCTCCTAGACTGTGCAAGAATAAATTCCTGTTTGTTAAAGCCATCCGTTTGTGGCATTTCTGTTATAGCAGCACTTGTTAGATAACTTAGACACAAACTTTAGAGTAAGACCTCAGGCTGAATCCCAGCTCTGCCAACTTATCAGTAACTAGGTATTGTTTAAGGAAACTGAGGCTTAAAGACGTTACCTATAAATGTTGATAATACCACCTGTGGATTCAGTGAGGTAATATATTTATGGAGTGTTTATCACACAGTGCAGAAACAAAAAGCAGTTTACTGTTGAGACAGTCCTACATCTGCATAACAAACCAAATTATATGCCTAATGTATTCTCAGAAAGATCAGGATACAGCATATTAAGTCAAAACACTGAGGAAGTATTCCAAAGCCAGAGAAGGAAACTGAACCATACCGCTTGATTCCAGATTTCACCTAACAAAAAAACGGAGCAAATCCTAGGTTCTTAATAAGATTCGATAAAATATTATATACTACATTAACATCCAAAATGAATGCAAAATTGTTAAACTATATTTGAAGACAATAAGAAAAGGTGCTATGTAAATGCCTCAAAATTTAACTCTACCAAAAAGAGGAGAAAAAAAAAATGTACCTTGTTTTTGAAAGCGCTGATTACTTTCATATACTGTTGGATTTGTTTCCCTAGTTCTTCAAATAATTTTGGTCTTTCTTCCGATTCCTGGAACCGCATCTTAATAGGCTGACCTAGATTCTTAACAAAAGAGAGAATATACAAATTCCTCAGCTTAAACTATCAGAGTAGTATGGTTTCCACTAAGATTGATTATGGATGAAAGAACATTTAATCTCCATGTGCTGTAAGTGGAATACTTTTCCTCAGCCCGTTGGAAACAAGGCTTCTTCAGGCTGATTATGAGAGTATACCTCAATATTGCTCCACGTAGAGCCACTTCGATTTGTCACTTGCAAAGAGCTCTAGTTCTCAAAACAGTGAGGAGACAATCAGAAATTTGGTGCCTCCCGAGATACACAACACTAAATATGATGTAACCCTGTTGCTGTTGAGTCGATTCCAACTCATAGTAACCCTACAGGACAAAGTAGAACTGCCTCATGTAGTTTCCAAGGAGGAGCTAGTAGATTCGAACTGCTGACCTTTTGATTAGCAGCCAAGCTCTTAGCCACTGCACCACCAGGGATCTTGCCAAAAATTAAAATAATTTTTAAAATCTGATGAACCTTCTAGATCTAACCATCAATTTACAGAATAATGTTAAAAACCACCATAGAGATAAAAATCAGCAAAATCCAGATTGGGGGAGGTGAATCCTACAGAACAAATGATACACTTTATTCATCAAATAAATTAGGCAAGAAAAAAACATGGAAGGAAAACTAAAGACACATATTTAAGAAACACAGCAACAAAACATATGGACCTTATTTGGATCCTGACTCAAACTAAAAAATAATAATTTATGAACAAATGAAACTTGACAAGGGACTAAACATATGGTGATATTAAGGAAGCTGTTAGGTGTTTCAGTGGTACAGCTTGATGTTATATTTTCTTTTAAACACATACTGAACTACTTATGGTAACGTAAGGGATTTGCGTCAAGTAACTGGAAGTGGGAGGGAGCAAGGATAAAACAAAATTGGCCTTAAGCTGGTTAACAGCTGAAGGCTGTTATTCTCTCTACTTTCATGTGTTTGCCACTTCCTGTGACAAAAAAAATAAAACAAGCAAAAACACAATGGAAGGGATCCCAATGGAGAGCTTGCTGGTCTTGCCAGAATAATAGGAAACTGCAGGCTCTGCCTCTGAGCAATTCCACTCAAGAGGTTAGTTATAATAGCCCAATTCCAGAAGAAACCAAGTTATACAGGGCTAAAGCTAAAAGAAAATGTAAAAACTTCTTGTGCATTTGCATCCTTTTCTAAATCAAAGGCCTCAACTTTAGATTAATTCTTTGTACTTTTAACAATCAGATTCTTTCAATGCAAAACTAGATGCTTTTATGGAGAATACACAGCCCTGTGACAAATGCACTGCAAAGCGCCTGTAGGACAGGGACTGTATCTTGCTAGTCTTTTTATCTCTTGACATCAAGAATGCATTCAATCTCCAATTCAGTGAAACAGTTAAGTATAAACCCAGTTTGCAGAAAAATTCTTGTTATTATGAGGTTTTAAAAGTGAGAGGGGCAATAGGTTTAAGTCATAAAGGACAGCTGTTTAAATACCATTTTCAGACTGTCTTCTTTACTTGGCATGAGATTCCTCCCAATTTTGTGCTATTCTCCTTGGGAGTTACAGCAAAGGTTAGGAATACCTCTGTTCTCAGAAAGTAAAAGCCACTTACTTTCAACTCAGCCAACTTATCCACATAAACTTGCTTTGGCTGGTCTTCTCCATCCTCATATAACCAATTTTCAGTATCTTCTAGTTTCAAGGAAAAACTGTTACGATCCTAAAGATAAGCACAATTTTTTAATCAAGTCAATCAAAAATCAGTTAAAAAAAAAAAATCAATTGAATCACCAGTGGAATCACAGGCATAGACTGCAAAGATATATGAGAGTTGCTTTAAAATACAGGGGAAAGAAGGGAGATAGGAATATATATAAAACAAGATTGGCAAACTGTTCTGGGTGATAGGTACACAAGGGTTTTATAATATTATTCCTTCTGCTTCGAGATATGTTTGAAAATTTCCGGATTAAACTGCATTCAAAAACAAATGAGTTTTAAAAAGTAAACATCAAGAAAAAAGTGAGCTAATTTAAAGAAAAGTATTAGCTAAATAATAGCATGCAAATGTGTCAAAAAGTGATGTGTACCAATATTATGAGTAGTTTTTATATGACCATTAAGCTTCTGTCTTATTTGAAAGTCATTACACCTCTTTATAAAGCTTAAGTCTAAACATGCAAATGCAAAGAGACAATGGGCCTGGTGTAACAGAGGATTCTCTTATTTTATGCTCCTTACTGTGATTACAGAAAAAAAAAAGAGAGTGCTCTTTAGGTAAACACTTTATCCTTGCCATTTAAACTTGAAATGTATGAGCAGAATAAGACCATCAGTTAAAATCAGAAAGGAAAAGTGTTGTACTTTAATGGCCTTGTTCTGCCGTAGCAATAAAATGACCAAGTACAATGATTTGGTTTAATAATCTTTTAAAAGTTGCTGTTATGAAGATTTTTAGCTATAATTTTTATCCTTGTTTTAGCCTGACTTGCCTTCAGTAACTATTATGTAATGCAGATGATGCTGCAGTATTCTAACTTTCCAAAAAAAGTATGGCAAATCTCAGAATGGTACACCTCACTGACTTGTTTACAGGTGCTGCAAAAATGATTATTACTCTCTCAAAACAAAAACTTAATAATAAAGAATAGTATTACCCCCCAAAAAAATGATGTGTAAAAGCCATGCACAAAGACTAACCCTTGGGAAATGCTGCACTAATGAAGAAATACAAAATAAAATGATATAAAAACCTCCCCCTCCCCCAAAAAGAGGAGTTCATTTTTACTGTGTACATACAGATGAAGACTTCCCCTCTACCACATTTAAAGATGCTCCCCAAAAACACATCTTAGGTTAGTACACTGTGGCACATACTTACATCTTCACTCACAAACTTCTCATATTCACCACTAAGTTTGTCCCTCATTTCATACACATATTCTTCCACTGCATTCTTGGCATCGTTCCGCTCCTTCTCAAGCTTATCTTGCATGATCATCTTACCCTAAGAACAGAATAAGTTAATTAGACATTAGTACAACTGAGACTATTTCTTCTTAAATACTAAGTAATATGTAAGTAGAAAATCCTTCTTCCCCAATTTCTTTTAACTCTGTGAGTCACCCAAGAAAGGAGAGCTGGAAGCATTAGTCCTTGGTGAACTGTGAAGATCAAGAAGTGAAGGTTCTGTATGCTTAGAGAAAGGTGACAGAAATATCAACATGTAGAAACTCAAACTCAAAAAATAAAGAAAAGAATTTAAGACAAGAGAACGCTAATGGTTCCATGTCACAAAGGGGTATACATTGCTGTTATTTATTATGGAATACCAAGAAAAATCAAACTTACTTATATACTATAAATGCTAAAGGTCTTTAAAACAAAACTACTCTAAGAGCCAGTGAATATCTGATAAGAAACTTCATAGGCAACAATTAATAAATGTGTTACAGGGTCCCAAACCATGCATCATTCACCATAACAAAAACCAAACCCATTGCCATCGAGTTGATTCTGACTTATAGCGACCCTACAGCACAGAGTAGAACTGCCCCACAGGGTTTCCAAGGAGCAGGTGGTGGATTCTAACTGACGATCTTTTGGTTAGCAGCCGAGCTCTTAACCACTGTGCCACCAGGACTTCTTCACCATAACAGAGTTACTATATTTACACACTGAGTGGCAAAGGGGAAATGGAGAAAATAGCTCCACCATTAATACTATGTGATTTCCTCTGCCGATCAACTCCCATGACTCACTACATAACCTCAAACATCCCATTCTCTGGTGAACAAATGTATCATCCATATACCCAAATATGAATGATACCTCCCTTAAACTAAAGACATACTGTCAAAGATCCCAGAACAGAGCTTCTAGCGATAGAGACAGTATCATCATAAAAGCATTTTGATATACTATGGGATCCAACACTTAAGCTCGCCCTTGCAGTACCCAAAAATCTAGGAACTATTTTCTCAAAGTGCAGTCAAAAGTGCATCAAGGTCGCTAGGCACAGGGTCTAAACGGTATGGTGACATTAATTTGTTAGTTTATTGTTTTAAGAGACTTTAAATAATCACCTCATTTTCAATGTACAAGTTGAGCATCTCTCTGTCTATCTGCCATAATAGCTGATTCTCAATTGGCAGGTCTACAGTACTGGTCTTCACTTTTGCCTTCTTGGCTTGAGGTGGTTGGTCCATCTTTTTGTCCTTTGATCCAGCTTGAGAGGTCTAAAATAACAGAAATTAAGAACAAGAAACACATATACAGACCATCTTAAACTTTCAAATAGTTCACATTTCAAGTTATTTTTGCTTTTTAATTAACTTGGTTTGTTTTCTGATGTCTGATGATCAAAATAACTGAGGACTATTTCTTGTAATATCTGGAAAATAAAAAACAAAATAACCTTCCATAATTCCACAATCCACATATATTCATCGCTGTTTTCCTCTTATTTTCCTCTACTCTTATCTAAACATATAGATATGGACATGAAATTAGTGGGAAGAGTCTGAAATTTCTATGGATCAATAATACATTAACAATGTGATTTCCAGAATGTCTGTCACTATTTACATTCTCATAAGGAGAGAACCCATTCCACTGCACTCTGGCCAACAATGGAAATTCATTTAACTTCATCTCTGTTACTTTTTATGAGTTTCTTCGGGACTATACCTTTTTTCATACACTTATCAACCATGCTTACTGCTTCTTCAAATTGCCTAGTCATATTTTATTCACTGTTCTCTTAGGATTTTAGTCATTTTCATCCAAATGACTGACCTTTCTAGTTTTTTCTAATTTTATCTTATTTGTCAGTACAAGTTTTTAATGTAGAATCTATCCATCTTTTCCTTCGTGATTACTTTTATTGTTTTTATGCTTTGAAAGCTCTCCCCCACCTACAGATTAGAAAAGTATTTGTTTTTTTACAGTATGAGGCAAGACTTCAGTGATATTTCCCCACCTTAAGCCAGATGCTGAAAATTTATGTTCTCATTTGTATTTCATTTCCCGTAGAAGCAATACATTCCTGAGTTATCCCATGGAAGCCTAAGTAACAACCTCCTAGAAACTTTCCACAGCTCCAGGGCATTCGGGGAGGAGCTGACCCCTATGTCAGTGCTTCTTCCTTCTTTTCCCCCACCTTTCACAAATACATGGGAAAACAAGTACTTCTCTCTTCCACCCACCCAAAAGCATGAAGGGTTTTCCATCCCAGTAAAGGCCTTAGTAGATTAAGGCATCTGTGAGAATCATTTCATCTGTTTTTTTTTTTTAAAAAAAAAAAAAGACTACTTGCACAGCGGAAAAAAAAAAGCAATTAAAATTGTTAACTGACTGAAAATGGGTAAAGGACGTAAGCCATCTTAAGCCTCTGCCAAACTTAAAAACACCACAATCAGAAATACCTAACAGGGTGTCACTTCATAAATAATTTGAAATAAGTTCAGAAAACAAATTTAAATATAAAAACTCAATAGTTAGAATTAAAGAATAGATTTGTAAAGAATTTAAACTGTATTCATTTAAATAAATGCTTGGGATAAAAATATTACATATTATTTACAAAACGTATTTAAATATATTATTTAAAACAATATCCTTTGACAAAAAGCCATGTTTTTGACAGGTGACAAAATCTGAAAAAATTTTAAGTCTCATTATTGTTTATCAGTAAAGAATAAATTATTCATAGAATGACTATTAGAAATAGCCATTCAGAGACTAGCATGTGCCAATTACTGACTAGTAAAAGCAGACCTTCTGAGAACTCTCTTTCCCTGTACCAACTAGAAGAGTTCAAAAGTGATCTTACAAAAAGCACTTTCCAAATACACTACAAAATCTTCCTACAAAACTGTTTAAACAAAAGAATTCCTAATATAACTATCTTCCGAGACACGATGCTTCAGCCAGAACCATGTATACGTTAAGAGACACTGCAATTCATACTCTAAAACACAACTCATACCTCCATTTCTTCAGACTCTGCCTTATTTTCTGCTGGCGTCTGCTGCTGCTGCTCCTCAACATGTGGTTCCTCCTGGTCCACTTGCATCTTCTGAAAAACACATTAAATCCTACAACAGTGAAAGACTAAACCTTCATCACACATTGGCCAAGTCACATGGTATGGTACTCCTGCAACTTATCAGCGATCAGAAGACCTAGGCTCAGCAGGAAGTTTTCCTCTCTGGATCTCAGTTAATACATCCGTACTATGATGATAACACTTGCCCTACCCTTATATAAACAAGAGTGACTATGGAATTACTTTGTAAACCACAAAGTATTCAGAGTAGATAATGTGGCATCATATAACACAATCTAATTTGTATAGAGCATGAGTTTCTGCAAGCTTCCTCTTGGGTAGATTACTCTGAAAAGTCTAAACTTTCCCAAGCTGTTCTAAAATCAGTCTTTTCTTCCTTTACAGTAAAAAACCATTGTATGCATGAGGGGAAATAAACACCTTGAATATTCAGCTAAAAGAACAAAGCCTGCCAATAATAATAAATAAGAGAGAAGATTGTGTAGACAGTGAAGCCATGATTCTCAATGCCTGCAGCACATTAGAATGATCTGAGAGGCTGTTAAAACTACTGATACCTTGTGCCCAGCTCAGACTTACTCAAACAAAATCTCTGGGGTTGAGGTCCAAGCATTTGTAGTTTTATAAAACTCTCCAGGTATTTCTGATGTCCAGTGAGGGACAAGACCCAGTGCATGATTCCAGCAAACTAAGTGTGCAATTCTACTTGAGAAAATAATCAACTGAGATGCAGTATTCTTCAATAACCAGACAGAATCAAGGATAACTCAAGTTGAGAAGTGTGTTTGGTTGGGTGGTGTGGGGGTGAGACAACTATGTTTCATTTCTGTGCAAATCCTGTATAAAGATTTTCTGCTGGTTCACCCATGCCTGGGGAAGAGGACACAATGTTCCTCCCTTGTTACCCAACCGACTTGCTAGAATTTCTAGAAAACATACCATCGTAAAATGTAATATATGAAATGTCCAGATTACCTCTTCCTCTTTTGCATTTTGATCTGTTTCCATTGGTTCCTCATTTTCCTCAGACTTGTGCACTTCCACCAGGGATGCACTGGACACACTGAAAATGCCATGGACATTTACTCGAGCCTTGACTTTCACTTTTGAACTAGAGCCATCAGACTGGGGAGTGACTTTCTGAACTGAAAACTGAGCTAGGGAAAAATGAGAAAACAAAAGAGAACACAGCCTGAGTGAACAAATTCAAACAGGAACATATGCCCACACTGCCAGGTTATATCCACTTCTCAAAGACAGGTCAGTAACTAACATGCCACTTCAAGTAAGAAAAGTCAGTTCTCTCAGCATCTTACTAAATTATCAGATTTCTCCTTCCTCTTTTACATTTAGTCAAACTCTTATTTTCCTGTCCCAAAATAGGGGCCCAAATATCTCCTAATTTCTTCCTTTCCTGCAGTCCCTTCTTTAAAAAAAAGTAACATTTATTATGCAATTAGCACATGATCACTGTAGAAAAATTAGAAAAGGAACTAAAATCATTGTACCTTCACAGAGATTTTAACATTTTTAGTATTGTTTTCCAAATTTGTTTCTATGCATATACCTGTTATTGTTAGTTGCCATGGAGTCGATTCCAACAATCACCTACATATTTTTTTTTATATAGCAGCTTTACTGAGATACAGCACACATATAATTCACCACTTTAAAGTGTACAATTCAATGTTCTCCAGAATATCTACAGGGCAGCCTGTGCAACTATCACCACAATCAACTCCAGAACATTTTCATTACTCCAAAAAGAAACCCCACACCCACTAACAATCATTTCCCCATAACATCCCTCCACCTCAGCCACAGGCAAACAATAATCAACTTTCTATTTCTACAGATTTGCCCAGTCTGGCTGTTTCATAGACATAGAATCACAAAATGTGCGGTCTTTTTGTGGACTGGCGTCTTTCACTCAGCATGTTTCTAAGCGTCATTCGTGTTGTAACATGTATTGGTATTTTATTTTTTATTGCTGAATATAATATTTCATTGTATGGACTTACCACAACTACATATTTTAATAAAAATTGTATCATACAGAGTGACTACCAATTGGTATAGGCCTCCTTTTTGGGATGATGAAAGTTTTTCAAAATTAATTGAGGTGATGGCTGCACAAGTCTGGGAATACAACAAAAACCACTGAACTGTACACTCCAAATGGGTGAACTACATGGTATATGAATTGTATTTCAAAAAAGCTGTTATAAAAATTGTATTATACCATACTTAATAATTATAAACACTTTTTTCATTTAATGATCTATCACTAACATTTTCCCATATCGGTAAATATTTTTCAAAATATAATTTAATGGCCATATAATTTTTCTGATATCAATATATATGATTTTTTAGAAACACAGGTTGTTTCCAGTGATTTTGCAATTATAGAAAATACTGTGATGACTCTCTTAGTATATAATCTATTTGCCCATTTCCGATTGTTTCATGAAAAAAAGAAGTTTTTGAACTGTTTTACTGGCAATTTAACGTATGTCTTTCATGTTAAAAATTCTTCTGCTTTACTGATGACCTACAAGTTAATTTCCTCTCTAAACACTATAATTCAATTTGATGCCTTATAAAAGTTTTCTTACAGATTCGTTTTATCTTTAAAGAAAAATAAAACTTCAATACTTTGAACTGAATAGGTAAAACTTTCTAGACTCAGTTTTTATTTTAGACTTTTTTATTGTTGTAAACCTCTCAGTCCCTTCTTATTCCAATTTATAATTATACGCTACTGACAGATAAATTCCTAAAACACATTAGTCACATTCTTCTCTACTGGAAAACCCCAAATGCATTTACACAGTCATTTATCAAGAAACTGCCATTTCTAGATCCAGTTATTGTTCCAGGGTTTTACTTAATGTTTTTAATTCACACAACTGTGCAATTATCATCATTATTCCCATTTTACAAATGAGGAAATAAAGAGTAGGTTAACTTTCCAGTTTCTAAGTTCCTTTCAGGATGTTTTACTAACTTTTACCCATGTACTGTCAGTCCATAGGTATGAAAGTCAAGTTTCTCTCTCCTCACAACTGGTATTATCTACAGATCATCGGAGTTTCTCAAAGTCTATAAAAGACTCCAGTCGACACAGATCCAAAATCTATGATGTATTGCTACTCTATCACATTTCCCTAATAATTTGCAGTGTACAACTTGTAACTGTATGCTAGGGTCAGGACTGAATTTAACTCCTTACAATGCTCTAGCATCACCTTATGCACAAAGTAGACCCACAATGTGCATTAACTGAGAAACACAGCCCACACAATGGGAGATCCAATAAAATAATGACTACTGGCTGGTCCTGAACCAGGTAAAACAAGATGAGTTTTCTTTTGTTATCTAAAGTGCCTAAATCTCAAAATATTGTGTTTGCACTTTCTGCTATCCCAGTTCTCCAAGTATATATAAGTTTGTATTTTTATTTTCCCAATTCTTTACTTACCTATAGCAGGATCTGGATAGGGCAAATCCTGAGGAGAGCTGTAGTAAGCTTCAAGAGTGAAAGGTTCCTTTCTATAAAAGGTGAGGACTCTAGAGAAAGGAGCAGCATGATTTTTTGGAAAGACTTCACAGTCACTGAAGGAAAAGGAAAAAACGCAAAAATTGAGAATACTTTTAACACTTTGACCCATGTAGCCCAAGCTTCTAATTACTGTTAACTTTAATTTTTCTCTCTTTTCAGCTGACATTATTTCCAGATTGTAAGAGTTTCTGAGAATTTATTTAAAAAAAAAAAAAAAATAGACACACACACTTGAATCAGCACATAAAAGACACCAAGGACGTCAGATGGCAGAGTAGTCAGACTCTTCCTGTGGTCCCTCTTACAACAAAGACCCAAAAAAACAAGTGAATCGATTACATATGACAATCTAGGAGCCCTGAACATCAAAGGCAGAGCTGAGGAATCGGACTGAGTGGTAGAGGGACGGAGAGACGGTTCAGAAGCAGCCAGGAGTTGCCAGACCTGACCTGGCGAAGCCAGCAGGCTTCAGGCCAAATCGGCAGGTGAGCGCAGTGACGCAAGCAGGGTGCTCAGGAGGCGTCTTCCACACCAGGAGAGACTGAGCAGCGGAGTAGCAACTGGGGCCTCCAGAAACAGTGAAAAGTAGCAATGAATCAACAAAAGATACATACATGCCTCTGACCTACCCCACAGATCAAAAACGCCCCCTTTAGAAAAAACCTCTTTCCCATTTACATGACCCTCCCTACTCTGAACTGGGTCCTGGGCCGGCTTCAACGATTGCTGAGTCCCCTGGGCCAGAAGTAGGACCCGTCACACACCCTGAGCAATTCTCCCAGCTTTGGAAAGGGAACAAATTAACAACTAGGAAGAAACAATCTGCTAGCTCTTACAAGCCGGAAACTCAGGGTAGGCACAACGCCTTGCCTAGGCACAGGCATAAGGGGTTCACGGACTGAATGCCTTTTCACCCCTGCATTGACCTGTGTAGACCCATTTCAACAGCACAGGCCCTCATTACCACAATACAACAGGGTATATAACTGAAGCCTAACTTCAACTGTATCAGCTATATGGTGAAGTGGCAGGTTCGTGACATTTGATACTGCTCTGCCCATTAAGCAGGGTCCTTACCTACCCACATCAGGGGCCTGAGGACTAGTACCTCCACCCATGCCACCTAGCCACCCCTGACAAGGGTCCAAGAATACGTGGTGCCTCCCAGTCCTTACAGCTAATGGCACTGGGTGCCCATAGTCCAGCTGCAAAACTCACCCACCTAGGTGCTCTAGGGAACAGGGACATGCTTTCCTCCCAGACACTCAGGAGTAGCCATCAGCCTGCTGCCTTGCTCAATGAATGACCCCCCTACTGCAGCCAGATACCTGTACCTACACCAATCACCCCTGCCTGTCTAGTACTGTAGGTGAGACCCGGCAGCACACACTTGGTGACTGACTAACTGGACACCTGAGCTGAATCCATACAAGAAAAGTAAAAAGACTCCTGGGCTCATATACCTAGTAACAGATCTAGCCACCTGGTGACAAGGACGTTAGAGCTTCAAAGGCGCCAATAATCAAACTAGCTCACAAGAGCAGCCTATTTGAGCATATCAAAACAAGAAGCTAGGATATGGTAAGCAAACAAAATAAATAAATATAATAACTTATTGATGGCTTTGAGACAACAGTCAATATCAAATAACATAAAAGGGTAAACCATGATGGCTTCAGCAAGCTCCAAAAACAAAGAATCAAGAAATTTTCCAGAGGAATAGAACTTCTCAGAACTACCGGAAGTAGAATACAAAAGATTAATACACAGAACTCTTCAGATCAGACAAAATGCAAAACAAGCCAAGGAACATACAAACAAAGCAAGAGAGAAAATTAAGAAGATTATATAAGAGCATAATAACAAATTTAACAGGATGCAAAAATCCATAGAGAGACAACAAACAGAAACCCAGAAGGTTAACAATGTATTTCAGAATTAGACAACTCAACAGAAAGTCACAGAACAGAATTGAGGCAATGGAAGTCAGAATTAGTGAGACTGAAGATAAAGCACTTGACACCAACTTATCTGAGGAAAAATCAGATAAAAGGATTTAAAAAAAAGAAGAAACCCTAAGAATTATGTGGGACTCTATCAAGAGGAATAACCTACAAGTGATTGGAGCACCAGAAAAAGGAGGGATAACTGAAAATACAGAGAGAATTGCTGAAGATTTGTTGGCAGAAAACTTCCCTGATATGATGAAAGATGAGAAGATATCTATCCAAGATGCTCATCAAACACCACACAAGGTAGATCCCAAAAGAAAGTCACCAGTAATCAAACTTGCCAAAACCAAAGATAACGACAGAATTTTAAGAGGGACTATGGATAAATGAAAAGTCATCAACAAACAAGTCAATAAGAATAAGCTCAGACTACTCAGCAGAAATCATGCAGGCAAGAGGGCAATGGGATGGCATATATAAAGCCTTGAAGGAAAAAAATTCCAGGCAAGAATCATATATCCAGCAAAACTGTCCCTCAACTATGATGGTGAAATTAGGGTATTGCCAGATAAATAAGAGTTTAGGGAATTTTCAAAAACTAACCCAAAATTACAATAAATACTAAAGGGAGTCCTCCGGTTAGAAAATCAATAACATCAGATAACAACCCAAGATGAGAACACAGGATAGAACAACCAGTTATCAACCCAGTCACAAAAATGAATCAAAGCTAAAAACACTGAAAATAGGGAAACAGAGATGTCAATATGTAAACGATACTGACATTACAACAAAAAACAAGGGCTGAAAAATGTAGTCATAGATCTTTCATATGGAGAGGAATCAAGGTGATATAAAGAAATAAAAGAGTAGTTTAAACTTAGAAAAATAGGGGTAAATATTAAGTTAACCAAAAAAGAAACTAACATTCCTACACATCAAGTAAAAAACAAAAACATAAAGACTCAGTAAACACAAAATCAACAACAATGAAAAGAAAATACATAAAGAAAAACAACTCAGCACAGAAAATTAAGTGGAACAAAGAAACTGAATAACATAAAAAAGACAACAAAATGACAGCACGAGACTCATACCTATCAATAATTACGCTGAATGTAAACTGACTAAATGCACCAATTAAGCGATAGAGAGTCGCAGAATGGATAAAAAACCACAATCTGTCTATATGTTGCCTACAAGAGACCCACCTTAAATACAAACTAAAACTCAAAGGATGGAAAAAATACATCAAGCAAACAATAATCAAAAAAGAGCAGGAGTGGCAATATTAATCTCTGACAAAATAGAATTTAAAGTAAAATCCACCACAAAAGATAAGGAAGAACACTATATAATGATTAAAGGGTCAATACACTAGGAGGACATAACCGTAATGAATATTTACACACCCAATGAAAGGCCTCCAAAATACATAAAACAAACTCTAACAGCACTGAAAAGAGAGATGGACAGCTCCACGGTAATAGTAAAAGACTTCAACACACCACTTTCAGTGAAGGATAGAACATCCAGAATCCAGAAAGAAGCTCAATAAAGAGAAGATCTAACTGCCACAATCAACCAACTTGATTTCATGGATATATACGGAACACTCCACCAACAGCAGCCAAGTATACTTTCTTCTCCAACGCACATGGAACATTCTCCAGAATAGACCACATATTAGGCCATAAAGCAAGCCTTAACAGAATCCAAAGCATCGAACAACCACAAACCATCTTTCCTGACCATAAAGCCATAAAAGTAAAAATAAATAACAGAAAAAGCAAAGAAAAACAAAAACACATGGAAACTGAACAACGTCTTGCTCAAAAACTACCAGGTTGCAGAAGAAATTAAAGAGGGAATAAGAAATTCACAGAATCAAACAAGAATGAAAACCCATCCTACCAGAAACTTTGGGACACAGCAAAAGCAGTGCTCAGGGGTCAATTTATAACAATAACTGCACACATCCAAAAAGAAGAAAGGGCCAAAATCAAAACATTAACCCTACAACTCGAACAAACAGAAAGAGAGTAGCAACAGAAGGCCTTGGGAGCCAGAAGAAATAATAAGAATTAGAGAAAAAATAAATGAAATAGACAACAGAAAAACAATTGAAAGAGTTAACAAGACCAAAAGCTGGTTTTTGAAAAGAACAACAAAATCAATAAACCACTGGCCAAACTGACAAAAGAAAAACTTGAGAGGAAACCAATAACCCAAATAAGAAATGAGATGGGCAATATCACAACAGACCCAACTGAAATTAAAAGAATCGTAATACTATGAAAAATTGTACTCTAACAAATTTGTAAACCTAGAGGAAATGGACAAATTTCTATAAACTCACTATCTACCCAAACTAACACAGAGACAGAACAACCAAATAAACATACAACAAAAGAACAGACTGAAAAGGTAATTTAAAAAACTCCTCCCCACCCCCACCCCCCAAAAAAAACCCTGGCCCTGACGGTTTCTTGGGGAATTCTACCCAACTTTCAGAGAACAGTTAACACCACTATTACTAAAGGTATTTCAGTGCATGGAAAAGGACAGAATACTAGTGAACTCATTCTATAAGGCCAGCATAACCCTGATACCAAAACCAGGGAAAGACACCACAAAAAAAGAAAATTACAGACCAATATCCCTCGTGAACACTGATGCAAGAATCCTCAACAAAATTCTAGCCAACAGAATTCAACAACATATATATAAAAAAAATACTTCACCATGATCAAGTAGGATTTATACCAGGTATACAAGTATAACATTAGACAAACAATCAATGTAATCCATCACTTAAATAAAACAAATGACAAGAACCACATGATCTTATCAATGGGTGCAGAAGGGCATTTGACAAAGTCCAACATCCAATTATGATAAAAACTCTCAACAAAATAGGAATAGAAGGGAAATTCCTCAACATAATTAAGGGCATTTATACAAAGCCAACAGCCAACATCATTCTAAATGGAGTCTGAAAGCACTCCCCTTGAGAACAGGAACCAGACAAGGATGCCCTTTATCACCACTCTTATTCAACACTGTGCTGGAGGTCCTAGCCAGAGCAATTAGGCAAGAAAAAGAAATAAAGGGCACCCAAATTGGTAAGAAAGAAGTAAAAGTATCTCTATATTTGCAGAAGATATGATCTTATACACAGAAAACCCCCAAAGAATCCCCAAGAAAACTACTGGAACTAACAGAACATTTCAGCCAAGTATAAGGATACAAGATAAACATAAAAAATCCGTTGTATTCCTCTACACAAAGAGAACCTCGAAGAGGATATCGCCGAATCAATACCATTTACAATAGCCCCCAACAAGATAAAATACTTAGGAATAAATCTAACCAGAGACGTAAAAGACCTATATAATGAAAACTACAAGACACTACGGCAAGAAACCGAGAGAGACCTACCTAATTGGAAAAACATACCTTGCTCATGGATAGGAAGACTCAACACTGTGAAAATGTCTATTCTACCCAAAGCGATCTACATATACAATGCAATCCTGATCCAAATTCCAATGGCATTTTTTAATGAGATGGAGAAACCACCGACTTCACATGGAAAAGGAAGAGCCCCTGGAAAGTAAATCATTACTGAAGAAAAACAACGAAGTGGGAGACCTCACACTACCTGTTTTTAGACCCTATTATACCACCACAGTAGTCAAAACAGCATGGTACTGGTACAACAACAGATACAAAGACCAATGGAACAGAATTGAGAATCCAGACATAAATTCAGCCACCTATGAGCAGCTGATATTTGACAAAGTCCCAAAGTCCGTTAACTGGGGAAAAGACAGCCTCTTTAACAAATGGTGCTGGCATAACTGGACATTCATCTGTGAAAAATAAAAGGAACAAGACCCATACCTCACACCACGCACAAAAACTAATTCAAAACAGATCAAAGACCTAAATATAAAAACTAAAACGATAAAGATCATGGAAGAAAAAAGAAGGACAATGCTAGGACATAGTATAAACAGGATACAAACCATAAGTAACAATGCACAAACACCAGAAGAGAAACTAGATAACTGGGAGCTCCTAAAAATCAAACACTTAGGCTCATCAAAAGACTTCACCAAGAGTCAAAACACAACCTACAGACTGGGAAAAAATCTGCAGCTACGACAAATCCGATTAGCATCTAATCTCTAGAATCTACAAGACACTGCAATACCTCAAGAACAAAAAGACAAATAACCCAATTAAAAATAGGCAAAGGATATGAACAGGCACTTCATCAAAGACAACATTCAGGCGGCTAACAGACAATGAGGAAATGCTCACGATCATTAGCCATTAGAGAAATGCAAATCAAAACTACAATGACATATTTCACCCCAACAAGGTTAGCATTAATCCAAAAAACACAAAATAATAAATGTTGGAGAGGTTGTGGAGGGACTGGAACACTTATACACTGTTGGTGGGAATGTAAAATGGTACAACCACTTTGGAAATCGATTTGGCACTTCCATAAAAAACTGGAAATAGAAGTACCATATCATCCAGCAATCCCGCTCCTTGGAATAAATCTTAGAGAAATAACAGCCGTCAAGGAATAGATATATGCATGCCTGTGTGCACTGCGGCACTGTTCACAATAGCAAAACGATGGAAACAACCTAGGTGCCCATCAACGGATGAATGGATAAACAAATTATGGTATGTTCACACAATGGAATACTACACAACAATAAAGAACAACAATGAAGCCGTGAAACATAACATGGAGGAATCTAGAAGGCATTATGCTGAGTGAATTTAGTCAGTCCCAGAAGGACAAATATTGTATAAGAGCACTATTATAAGAACTCAAGAAAAGGTTTAAACACAGAAGAAAACATTCTTTGATGATTACAAGCGTGGGGAGGGAGGGAGAAGGGTATTCACTAACTAGATCGTAGACAGGAATTATCTTAGGTGTAGGGTGGACAACACACACTACAGAGGAAGTCAGCACAACTGGACTAAACCAAAGCTAAGGAATTTCCTGAATACAACCAAACACTTTGAGGGGCAGAGTAGCAGGGGTGAGGGTCTGGGGACCATGCTTTCAGGGGACATCCAGGTCAACTGGCATAACAAAGTTTATTAAGAAAATGCTCCCCATCCCACTTTGGCAAGTGGCATCTGGGTCTTAAAAGCTAGTGAGCAGCCATCTAAGATGCAAGAACTGGTCCCGACCCAGCTGGAGCACAGGAGAATAAAGAACACCAAAGACACAAGAAAAGTATTAGCCCAAGAGACAGAAAGAGCCACACGAATCAGAGACTGAGACCAGAAAAAATAGATGGTGCCCAGCTACCACCAATGACCGCCCTGACAGGGAACACAACAGAGAGTCCCTGATGGAGCAGCAGAAAAAGAGGGTGCAGAACTCAAATTCTAGTAAAAAGACCAGACTTAATGGTTTAATTGAGACTGGAGGGACCCTGGAAGACTTGGCCCCCGGACTCTCTGTTAGCCCAAAACTAAAACCATTCCCGAGGCCAACTCTTCAGACAAAGACTAGACAGGACTATGGGACATAAAATGATACTTGTGAAGAGTCTGCTTCTTAGCTCAAGTAGATACCTGAGACTAAATGGGCAGCTCCTGTCTAGAGGTGAGATGAGAAGGAAGAGAGGGTCAGGGGCTGGTTGAATGGACATGGGAAATCTGGGGAAGAAAGGAGGAGTGTGCTGTCACAGCATAGGGAGGGCAACCGGGGTCACATAACAATGTGCATATAAATTTTTGTATGAGAAATTAACTTAAACTGTAAACTGTCACTTAAAGCAAAAAAAAAAAAAAAAAAAAAAAAAAACCCGGAGATTTCACATAAAAAAAAAAAAATCAAGTATAGCAAACTAAATAAAGACACAAATTTATGCATTCTGAAGCCTAAAATAAGCAATCACTTTACTGCATGCACTATGACAAAATACTGATTTATGCAAGTTGAAAAGGAAGGCCACATATTACTGAAACTAACACTGAGTTAATCTTAAGTAAAAAACGATTAATAAACATATTACCTTGACCCTTCTTCAGCTGGAGAATTCCATCTCAGAGATATTGGATATGGTACCACATCAGTGATAGAAAATTCTCTGACTTTGAAAGCAGGTGATAAGATTGCACACTAAAACAGCAATTTTTTTAAATTCAATTTAATAAGTATAGACATTGTGAACTAATAATATCACTAAGCCTATAAATGTCAATTTCAGAATATTATTATCAACGGTCATCCTTAAATATTTACACTGATAGTTTAATGCTGTCTAAACAAACAGGTTTACAAACATGTTTGTTACATTACCTATATAACCTAGTTAATCTTTATTTTTCTATGAATTTGAACCCTTATTTAAATGATGCACGATACTATATTCACATATACAGATAACAGGTAATCTGCCAAACTCTACTAGTATTTCAGGCTTAATCTATGTTCCTAATTAAGGAATTTATCTTATTATATGAAATAAAGTCAACTCCTTTTACGACCATCAATTCTGTTACTCATTTTAAAACAAAAGTTTCAGAATCTTACACCTTGAGAACACCCTGAGCTAATCTCAGGTTACTAGTTGGATACATAAACCACTGGCATCCTGTTACAATGACCTATACACGGCTACCTGTGAAAGAAATAGAACTCACCTGCAATGCACAGCCTCGAGTGACAGCTTCATCAGCATTTAATGTTGTACTAAGTTCTTTACCAAAGAATTTGCTGATCCTCTCTTTTACTGCAGGGATTCGTGTAGCACCACCAACTATCTCTACTGCATAAATATCTTCTTTCTTTAACTCTATTTTAAAATTAGACGTTCAGATTAAAAGACTCTTTGGTGTATCACAATAAAATGTAGCAATAATATCTATAACAACGCAGAGGTGTAGACTAAACTCCAGTGCCTCACCTACCCCACTCCAAAACACACACACACACACACACACA